GGTGCAAGGATTTTTGCCAACTCAGGCGAAGGTGCATTTTGCCGCCCCCCCCCCCGAGCCCGCGCCCCCCCCCCCCCCCCCCCCATGCAGCTGTGCAGCAACAGATAACTTCTAATAATGATCTATTGCTGGCCACAATCAGCCAGCAATAGATCACTATAAAGGTGCCCATACACCTGCCGATTATCGTACGGTAGTTGTGAGTGATCCCGCGATCGTACGATAATCGGCAGGTGTATGGAAGGCGTGCGACCGTTTCTACTGTACGGTCGCACGTCTTTTGTCTTCCGAGCCCGCTGGAAAACCTCCCGAAAAAAAGATTTTCGGCAGGTTGCTGGCGTGGTCGGAAGACAAATGCCGAATGGGCGCACACTGCCCGCTCAGCATTGCAGTCATTGAAAGCCCCTCCCGTCAGGGGGCGGGCTTGCGATGATCGCAAGTACGATCTGCCAGTCCAAGATGGGAAGATCGTACGAGCTTTTAATTACCTTACAACCATCGCATAACGAAAGTCGTGCGAGGGTTGTAACGTGTTTGGCCAGCTTAACAGGGATCTGTTGCTGCAGGGAGAGGCTGGACAGAGCTGCTTCAGCACCACCCAAGTCTCCATTCTAACAGGAATTGCAGGGACATCTGATGTGGGCACAGTGTGGAAGCATTGTTTCCACATTGTGCCAATGGACAACTGGGTAGCAGAATCCCAGAAACTGATTGATTCAGCTCCTAGACTTAGTGCTGGACCAAGGCTGTCACTGCCAGCCAGTGGTTCTAGCACTAGAGTCCATGATTCGGACCTGATTTGAGTTCTGGAGTGCAGGCCACCCTTGGGCTGCTTACTGGGCACCTCTGGTCTAAACAAGGACAGTTGTACCTTCAGATATTGGGCTGCTTACTGGGCCCCTCTGGTCTAAACAAGGACAGTTGTACCTTCAGATATTGGGCTGCTTACTGGGCCCCTCTGGTCTAAACAAGGACAGTTGTACCTTCAGATATTGGGCTGCTTACTGGGCCCCTCTGGTCTAAACAAGGACAGTTGTACCTTCAGATATTGGGCTGCTTACTGGGCCCCTCTGGTCTAAACAAGGACAGTTGTACCTTCAGATATTGGGCTGCTTACTGGGCCCCTCTGGTCTAAACAAGGACAGTTGTACCTTCAGATATTGGGCTGCTTACTGGGCCCCTCTGGTCTAAACAAGGACAGTTGTACCTTCAGATATTGGGCTGCTTACTGGGCCCCTCTGGTCTAAACAAGGACAGTTGTACCTTCAGATATTGGGCTGCTTACTGGGCCCCTCTGGTCTAAACAAGGACAGTTGTACCTTCAGATATTGGGCTGCTTACTGGGCCCCTCTGGTCTAAACAAGGACAGTTGTACCTTCAGATATTGGGCTGCTTACTGGGCCCCTCTGGTCTAAACAAGGACAGTTGTACCTTCAGATATTGGGCTGCTTACTGGGCCCCTCTGGTCTAAACAAGGACAGTTGTACCTTCAGATATTGGGCTGCTTACTGGGCCCCTCTGGTCTAAACAAGGACAGTTGTACCTTCAGATATTGGGCTGCTTACTGGGCCCCTCTGGTCTAAACAAGGACAGTTGTACCTTCAGATATTGGGCTGCTTACTGGGCCCCTCTGGTCTAAACAAGGACAGTTGTACCTTCAGATATTGGGCTGCTTACTGGGCCCCTCTGGTCTAAACAAGGACAGTTGTACCTTCAGATATTGGGCTGCTTACTGGGCCCCTCTGGTCTAAACAAGGACAGTTGTACCTTCAGATATTGGGCTGCTTACTGGGCCCCTCTGGTCTAAACAAGGACAGTTGTACCTTCAGATATTGGGCTGCTTACTGGGCCCCTCTGGTCTAAACAAGGACAGTTGTACCTTCAGATATTGGGCTGCTTACTGGGCCCCTCTGGTCTAAACAAGGACAGTTGTACCTTCAGATATTGGGCTGCTTACTGGGCCCCTCTGGTCTAAACAAGGACAGTTGTACCTTCAGATATTGGGCTGCTTACTGGGCCCCTCTGGTCTAAACAAGGACAGTTGTACCTTCAGATATTGGGCTGCTTACTGGGCCCCTCTGGTCTAAACAAGGACAGTTGTACCTTCAGATATTGGGCTGCTTACTGGGCCCCTCTGGTCTAAACAAGGACAGTTGTACCTTCAGATATTGGGCTGCTTACTGGGCCCCTCTGGTCTAAACAAGGACAGTTGTACCTTCAGATATTGGGCTGCTTACTGGGCCCCTCTGGTCTAAACAAGGACAGTTGTACCTTCAGATATTGGGCTGCTTACTGGGCCCCTCTGGTCTAAACAAGGACAGTTGTACCTTCAGATATTGGGCTGCTTACTGGGCCCCTCTGGTCTAAACAAGGACAGTTGTACCTTCAGATATTGGGCTGCTTACTGGGCCCCTCTGGTCTAAACAAGGACAGTTGTACCTTCAGATATTGGGCTGCTTACTGGGCCCCTCTGGTCTAAACAAGGACAGTTGTACCTTCAGATATTGGGCTGCTTACTGGGCACCTCTGGTCTAAACAAGGACAGTTGTACCTTCAGATATTTTCAGGCCACATGAGCCACAGTCCCAAATGAACAAAGTAACCAACTTTATTTCTTCTTCCTTCAGTCCCTGGTGTTGGTCAACAACAAAATCTCCAAAATCAACGAGAAAGCCTTCGAGCCATGTCAAAATCTGCATAAGTTGTACATCTCTAAAAACAGCCTTGAAGAGATCCCCAAGAGCCTGCCCAAGGCCCTGGTGGAGCTTCGTATTCATGAAAACAAGATCAAGAAGATCCCTAAAGATGTCTTCAACGGGCTGAAAAGCATGAACTGCATTGGTAGGCGTTTGTCACGGGCTATCAAAGCTTATCTAAACCCAAGCAGAAAAATGTCATCTATTGCAGCCTACCGGTCCTGAGACGTGGTGCCCGCATTGGTTTTAGGGCTAAGAACATTCTCTGCGAGTACAGAATAATATCTGCTTAACTAAAATTCCAGCACCGTACTGTATCTATGCAGGAGCGGGATTGTCACCCTAGGCTGCTCAGTCCTTATGCAGACTACAGATCACCTCCTCCTCTTCATCTCTGTAGATTAAAAGCTTCTGGATTTCTCTCTGGTGCAGTTTCACAGCATGGCAACCAATCAGCTGCTAGCTTCCATTGTCAATGCTTAAGGGCCAGGTCACACCAGATGCAGTGCGTTCCGGCCCGATTCTGGCCAGAACGCACTGCCTCGCATTGCTCACTTTTTACTGGGGCAGGAGGGGGCGTGGCGGGCCATTGAAGTGAATGGCACCGTAGCCACGCCCTCTGGCCGCAATGCGATCTGTCACACGGGATCGCGAGGCGCATTATGCCTGCGGTCCGGTGCGATCAAACTAGTGCTTGCAGCATTTTCATCGGACCGGACCGCAGGCAGTGCGTCTGATCGCATTGCGGCCGGAGGGCGTGTCTACGGTGCCATTCACTTCAATGGCCCGCCACGCCCCCAATCGCGAGGCGCATTATGCCTGCGGTCCGGTGCGATCAAACTAGTGCTTGCAGCATTTTCATCGGACCGGACCGCAGGCAGTGCGTCTGATCGCATTGCGGCCGGAGGGCGTGTCTACGGTGCCATTCACTTCAATGGCCCGCCACGCCCCCACCTGCCCCACAAAAAAGTGAGCCGGCTGCAATGCGAGGCAGTGCGTTCTGGTCAGAATCGGGCCGGAACGCACTGCATCTGGTGTGAACGGGCCCATAACTGAACAAGCTGAAGATAGAAGCTGATTGGTTACTATGCACGGCTGCTCCAGATTCTGTCTGCTCCGGTTTTAGCAGATTCCTCCCATGGTGTGTTATTGATTACAGAGCAGCATTAAAGGAGAACTATGAGGGGGGGAGGGGCTTTTCACTCACCTCATAGTTCTAGCCGACCTGTGACAATGAGACTGTCACAGGTCGGCTCAGTAGATCGGGAGGTGAGCGAACACATACCAGCGTTCGCTCACCTCTCGATCCTGTCCTTGCAGAGAGAGGTGATCTCCCTGCAGGGATTCCCGCCCTCCCCTGTCCGATCCTCCAGCGCTGACTGGCGGAACGGACGGGGGAGGGGGCAGGTACAGCTGGCTCTGCCTCTAGATAGGAGGAGCCAGCTGTCACTCACGCAGCTGGGCGGATCTCGACATTGATGTCGGGATCCGCTCCGGCTCCGGCGTCTCAGTATACCGCGAGCTGTAGCTCCCTATATACTGAGCCTAGGGTGACGGGAGGACGCTAGTTTGTGTCCTCCCGTTACCCT